CTTTGGTCCTGACATTTATCACCGGTTTCCATCATCCAATACATAAAGAATATTTTTCTCATGCTCATTCCAAGCCACAAGATTAAACTCTTTATATAAATGATAATACTTTTAGAACATTCTTTTTCTAAGATATCTGAGCGTATCTTCTTAATACAATTAGATGCACTATTATTTTTTATATTCTCAAGGCACTATCCTCCTTGATCTCAATTTTTAGGCATCATCAATGTGAACTGAAGTTCTAATCCAGAAACTACAAAATATTTCACGCTTAAGCTTGTTTGGCAATCTTATGGGTTAACACCTACTATTAGACATATTATGCTACGATATTGTTAATGATTTTATGTCCTTTGAATATAAATAGCACAGTAACCATGCTAGTATTCTTGACTTCCTTTTGTTTTGCTTTATGTATAGCATTTTTCTCTAGTCCTCTAATTCCATACTTAATTTTTGCCTATTTGAATTTTTCTTTTACCCCTAGTATTCTAATCTTTTCTATATTCTTGCTTTTGGCTCATTCCTTTACTCTTCACAGACAAATGATTTGCTTGAAGAAATCCGTTCCCGCCTGGAAGAAGTTGTTGTTGGTCAGGTGTTTACCGCTTGCGCAGGGCAGAATCCTGCCCGTCAAGCCGCTGTCGCAGCTGGTCTCCCTTTTTCAGTTCCTGCATACGGCGTGAACATGCTTTGTGCATCTGGCCTGAAAGCAGTATGCTTAGCTGCCGGCAGACTTAAGCTAGCCGCCATCGAGGCTCTCGAGAGCGAAAAAGGCAAGAATAAAAGTTTATTAAGCAGCTTGTCATAAAACATTTATTAGTGCTCGTTTGGTCGCTGTCATCAGTAATCTTATTTTTTTTACCTTTACTTTTGATGGTCTCAAAAGGACTGACTAATGAATATAAACGAAAGTGACTGTCCTATACGTCCGAAACTATCTTAGCTTGTACTTAGCTTGTACTGCATTTTAATTTTGCCTCAATTTCGTGAGCACCCAAGAGGGAATTTCGATTCTGTTGTTTGGGTTCGGAGGCATACAGTTACCTCACAGTCGTGTGATCCTACCCCTGCCCAGTTACACAGAATGCATTACTATCAAGGAGAAACACACCCCTCTTAACTCACATCTGCATTGGAAGTTTTATGTCGTTTCGCGCTTGAATATTTGGTATCACTGTCTTTGACAACCATATCTACTTTCTTTTTGCCTTATATTCTTAGTATTAGCTTTCTAAACGACCCTTATTTCTTATGTCTTATTACTTTGACTTTTAGACATGTCTGGAGGCTTTGCTTCTAAGCCAAAGTAATCAGCTTTTCTTCATATTCGCGACTATAACTTAATATTCTAGGTAATATCTGAATATTTTTTAAATAATCTGCCTAGATGTTCTTAGAGCAGGATTATCAAATCTTAACCTACTTTATGACTTTTGCTCTCTTCTATTTAAAGGATAGTTTCAATTTTTTGACATGTATTTACCTCGAATCTAATTCGTTCCTGCTGCTCTGATAACCTTGGCTTCAGCACAAATTTACGCTTGGTTATTTTCTTTTTTTTATTGTTCAGTTGCCCCAGGCGGTTGGGCAATTGCTGGTGGGCAGGAGTCGATGAGTCAGGCACCACACGCCACTATGCCTGGTTGTGGTCTGCGCAGAGGCGGCTTCAATAATGCCAACAGACTTCCAACCATGGGCAACTATTGCTTCGCTGACACCTTGCTTAATGACGGTCTTAGGGACGCATTTTATGAATGTCTCATGGGCGACACGGCTGAAAATTTGGCTTTTGAGTAAGGCTACTGATTGGGGTAATATTAGAATTATGTTTATGCAAGAGTAATTCATAGACTTAGCGTTAAGGTTAGAAAAGCGAGTGGTCATTCCTAGTTGGCTATTAGTATATTAGTTTCCTCATAGACGTGGTCCATGACGTAAAGGCTTGACCACAAGACTTACCCGATGAACATGCCGCATGCAGCGTCAAGTTAGGTTGCCATGCCAAATAAAAATCCAGACTTTAGGGGCTTGCTCAGTATGGCTGGTGCATGCGTGTTACTGACACAACGTACACTCTTTATAGCTACAATATAAACCTTTACTAGCTAAAGCTCAGTAAATTTGTGTATTAAATCTATGGCTGATTGGCGTCCTACAGTGACATTATAATAATTTCTAAAACTAGTTATTCATTCAAAGAATCTAACTTAATATTTTCTACTATCAGCCTCATTCATAAAATCATAGTCAGTATAGCTTAAATATACT